AAGAATAATTAACTAATTATTTTTTCTATTTATTTTATGAGCATACCTTAAAGCAAAATTCCATTTAACACTATAAAAAAAAAGTCTTTTTAAGAATTAAAAAGACAAAAAGAATAGGATGAAAGAAAGCTGGATTTTTGTTCTTGGTAATAGACTGCCTGGAGAGGAGAGTTACGGTACAGGATTGTCCCACCAAGAACAACAAACCTATCTTCTCATGCTGCGCTGGGGACTTTTGGTGAGATGTTGTAAATAAATGTGGAACGAGGGGAGTTCTTCCTGAGCTTTTATGATTCTTTATTAAAAATGTTTTCAGTTTTTGAAACTTCGAGCTAACGTTAGGTCTCTATTGCTGTTACAATTAAAATGATCTTGTAATTAGGATCATTTAAAAATAAGTTCTACGTGCCTGACCTGTTCTCTCTGTGACAGGATTCGGCAACTGCTGATTACTCTGTGGTTGAGTTTAGAGGTATGATTTGACTGTTCTGTGGGCAGTATTAATGTGGGTGGAAGCCATTTAGGGTGGGTGATCTATTCTAGGTATATAGTATTGGATTTGTGTTAGTGCATTAGAAAAGGCTGTGTTACAAAGAACCTACAACTTGGCCAGTCCTTTGTTCACTGCCAGATGTCCTAGAAAGAGGTGGGCTTTGGGCTTTTTTGTGTTGAAAGGAATAGTTAATCTTTAAGGTGAAGAGTAGATAACTTATTTTCTGGGCAATCCTGGATAGCGAAGTGAACAAAGATTAAATAATTTAAAAATAATGTCACTGTAGTGACTGAGAGGTCTATAAAACTCGTGTTATGAGCCAGTCTTGCCAGTCACACTTTTCAGCTGAACATTGGCATAACTGGTTCCTTGATGGAGATCTGAGGTGTATGAAGATCACTGAAGAGTCAGTGCTCAAAACAGGTTGTAAATCACATTGTAAGAGTGCATATTAAGAATGTTGAGTAGCCTTAAGCTTTATATTGCATATGGTCATGAGTACATGAGATGAAGTTAATACTTCATTTTATGCATTAAACTTAAGATGTGATTGAAGATGAAAACTTTTTTTTTAGATTAGTCTGCCACAAACTTCTATTTAATTTACAACATTATTGATTGCTTAAAAGATTTTATTTATCTTGTTTCTTTAGTAACCATAGTTTTTGTGATGGAACCTTCCTGCATGTTTTACAGCCTTTTAGGTGATAGAAGCAGTGGTTCATAAATAAATGTTTAACTCCAATGGAGTTAATGCAGTATTTGCATGTGGATTGTCATGAATTGTTTTCAAAACTAAGCCACAGTGGATTATAATGTATCGTTTGCAAAATTTATACTGTGTTCTGGGTATCTGCTTGAAATTGGATGCAGCAAGACCTGTTGTAGTCACTACCTCAAAATCTCAGCAGGTAGGAAGCCTTATTTGAGTAACCTGGTCTAGTGGGAGACAGGTGTCCCTGCCCACAGCTGGAGAGTTGGAACTAGATGATCTTTGAGGTCCCTTCCAACCTTAACCATTCTCAATGTTGTTGGAGCATGATTCTGGAATTGAAGTCTAAAATCTAGTGTGCCTGCCTGTACCTTCTCAAAGCTCACATTGGAGAAGAATGAGGAAAAGAAGCCAAACAAAATAACTCACTACCATGGTATTGTTTTAAGGGAAAGTGGACCTCGGGCCCTTCTTTGCATGTCTCTGCACATTGGTGCCAGTGTCTTAAGGCAACCCTATATCTGCAGTTGCTTTGGAGCTTACGTTAATGAGAAGGTGAGCAAATGGGCATCATGTGGCACATGATGATAGTGGGTCAACAACAGATACTTAGACAGGACTATATGAAAACTGCTTCTGGAGTATCACTATATTGTTGTTTACCATTCAGTCCTTTGGTGTTTTCATGATCCAGGAGCTCCTGAGTTAGAAATTACATCTTTGAATATGGAGTTCGTCATGGATTTTCTTCCTTAGTTTGCTCAGCTATGAGAACTTCAAGCTTAATTACATTTTGTGAATAAATAACTTTTTTTTTTTTTACTTTGAAGCTGTCACAGAATCACACGTCGTTTTGTGTTTTTCCTGAAGGTCTGCTTCACTTGGAACAATGAGTTGTTTTGTATTTACCTTTTCTCTGTCACTCTTGATCTTGTGGAGGTATGTCCTCTCCTGCTTTCAGCTGCCTGTTCTTGCCTCTGTTTAGGTGTTTCTCATACAGAGTCTGTGTCCCACATTGCTATTTTCTGTATCTCTCGACTTACTGTATTGGTAAATGAAAACAAACCAGAAGTGCACACAGAATTGACTTGATATAGGATGTGTGACAGAACTACTTTGTGATGAATTTTTCAGTTTTGTTCTGCATGTCCCTCCTAATAGCCTGTAACATTCAGTTTTATTTTCTTGCCAGCTCACTTGCCGTCATACGCACCTCTGTTGTAACCCAAAGTTCACGTCCCAAAGTGCTGGTAGTCAGCTCAGGGCCTGTTGCTATATATATAAATTTAAGATTCCTTATCTGTGGACTCTTTTGACCCTCATCTGACTTTCAGAGAGAGGTGCAAATCTCTGCCTTATTCAGAAGGAAGTAAGTAGAGTTCTTATGACAGCAGGATCAGTGTTAGGAGGCATCGCTACTTTCCTATAAGAAAGGACTGATGAGTTAAGAACATCTGGTCTCTGCGTATTTTTTCTTCCCCATCTGTCTTATTTCTTCAGCTTTAAGGAAAAGTGGTATCTGGAAATAGAATAATTGCTTAAGGATAGACCAAATGAAGTAATGGACTAAAAGAATGAGCAGTGTTGAACTTGGGATTTTTTGATTTGTGATGTTTTCCCTCAGTAAGTGTTGACTTGTTTCTTTCTTTTCCAATTAGCTGTGTGTTCTTCAAACCTTAACAACTGCATGTCATTCAAGCATTTCACACTTGTCTGGAGCATGCAGTAAGATTCAGAGTACTGTGACAAAGAAACTATGAAACTCTATCTAAATTGTACCAGAATTAATTGCCTATTGAGAATACCCTTTGAACTTGGCTAGTGCTTTCCGACTTGGCACTGTATAGGTTCCGCACTTCATTGATGCGAGAAGTATTTGCAAGAGCTGTGCTTGTTTTGCCCACTTTGAAGGTAGGCCACTGTCTATACCAGTTCTTGCTCTCTTTTTTCAGTAGAGTGTGTTTGGTCCTGCCTGATTGTTTCTACACGAGGCTCTCCTGAAAGCTCTGGAAAAGTGATCCGCAGGTTTTAGCAGAAATCCCTGCGGGGCCCTGCCTGCAATGTAGGCATTTCTCTGCTCTAGTGCCTCTTCTTATAAAGTGTATCTCTCCAAACTTGGATAATTTGGGAAGTAATAAAGAATACAGCTTGAATTCAATACTACTATTATTTTTTTTCCAGTCTAATATCTTTCTCATATATGCTTGTCGAATAGCAAGCAGAATATGTGATTTCTTGCATAGCTTCCTTACTTTGTTAAAACTAAATCATGGCCACTCCTTTCCATCTCAACTGCCATCTCATACAAGGGAGTATAAACACCTAATTTTAGACATGACTCATTCTGATGATTGTACAATTGTGCTAGATGATTATTTTTTAAAGAGAAAATTGCTGACATCCCTAAACCAAACTTAAATAGGGAGTAGCCTGGTTTAAATCTAAGTATGCAACTATCTATACTTGTCCATCATACCCAGTCTTGCTGTAAGTGGAGGACAGATGAGGTGAGGGGTTGTTACTGTTTTGGTCATACAAGGGAAAAAAATAAAACGATTGTTGCTGGAAGAAATCTATTATTTACTGCTAATTAAAACAAAATACTTCAAAGTTTAGAAGCAGAAATCCCTTACTGATATGAAAAGAACAGGTCATAATGTAAACTACTTTCAGCCTTTAGCAGACATTAATAGCTTGTGCTTGATACACTTTTAAAATATTTCGTAGCAATATGAAGGTGCTACAAAAACTGGTTCTGGAACCACAATATGTTGGTTGTCTGAGTCAAAGCTCTGTACAGCTCTGCTCATGGAAACTTGTGTTTAGCTGTATCAGCTTGTAGGTGCAAAATCAGTAGGTAATTTTTATTCTACAGATTTATATATGTTTGTACTACATGTGTACACACATTTGTGATTAAGAAATGTAAAGGGAGTTAGTGAGTATTTTTCTTTGTTAGGGTAGAAATGTCCTTTTAGTAAGGTGTACTAAGGATCTGAGCGCTGTAGGAATTGTGGCTAGCCAGGACTAGCATTTATCTTGTTTTTGTTTAGCAGTACATTATGTAAAGCAAGCTAGGAGAAGTGGATACTTAGCAGCAAAAGAGGGAAAATTATCATGTTTAATTACTTTGAAGTGCCAGAACTTACCCTGCAAGACTTCTTTTCAGCAAGGTGAGAAGCATGCAAATAAATCTGTCCCTAGAGATCAGCAAATGAGTTTGTCTGTGCTCTCCTGACAGGAGTCAGTTTGATTCTTCTGTACTGTCCCCTAGAAGCTAATTCATTGGGTCTGGCTAGATAAGACTGACATCAATGAAGGCTTGAACTCCTCTTCTAGTGTATCCAAAGAAATCCGTAATCTAGGTTAAACTTTCTTTTCAGCATTTTGGCATGTAATGTCATCCAGGGTATTTGCCATGGACGTGAATGCTACAAGGAAACCTTTCAGTCTTCATTTCTAGAATGTTTGTCATGTTAATGCTTGTGCACAGAAGCCTGAAAGTGAAACTTTCCGAGGACTTGAATTTCACAAAACAAAGTGAAGTAAATCAGTATTCTGAGAATATTGCTACTTTCTCAAGTACCTGATAGCCTGTTCCTTCTCCAAAACCTGTAATTTTGACTAGAGAAAGGGGATCTTGTTTTTGTTACATGCAGGCAAAGTAATCTCTTGGTACATTATGTAACTTCTTTTAATTGGAAGATGGGGATTTTGCCATGAAAATAGTGAGACACTTTGTATCTAATGTCCAATTTTTGTTGTTGTTGTTGTTGTTGTTTTGCTTAGTGCCCCACTTTGATAAGATCTGGCGTGAGCACTGCGAGGACGAGGAAACTCTGTGTGAATATGCTGTGGCAATGAAAAACCTTGCAGATAATCACTGGGCAAAAACCTGTGAAGGGGAAGGCCGAATTGAATGGTGTTGCAGGTAAATCTTATTGTATTTGAAAGATGCAATTGCCAATATTTAAGATGTGCTCTATAACGTGTTAATGACTTATTAGTTCCTAAACCAACTACCTTCTTACTGTTCAATTTATAGGTTATGAAGTGTTTGGCTATGAGGTGACTTTTTAAAGTATCTGCAGCAAACAATTTTTTTTCCCCCCATCAAATACTAAAGCTGTTTGCAATTAAACCTATGTAGTAATTTTCCATATGTTTGAACCTAAACTGAGCAAATGCAGTGAGTGTAGCTCAAGTTTAATTTTCAGGGCTTTAGTTTGTTTTGTGTGTACAATAGTGTTTGATCTCCAAATGCAAATCTCTGGTGCTTAATTTTCAAGTCTTAATCTCCTGCAACAGACTTTAACCTCTGTGGAACTTGTTTTAAATGGATTTTAAACTTTAAAATTCCTCTAAGTCATAAACATCTAATTTTTGTTGTGCTATCCCAAATGTAGAGTCATGAAGTAAGTTCAGCAAAACTGTTTCAGTCTTTGAGGAAAATAAACTCCTAAAAGAGGAGAAATGTTTGTCACTTAAGAATCCTGCACACAGTAGGTATCCGAGGTATGAAATGGAATCTCCACAGCAGAATAAAACAAAATATTGTTGAAATATAACTGTGGGAAGAGAATTTATCAATGGTCCTACCTTTGGGAATGACTTTAGACAAGAGAAAAGTATTATTGTGTACCAGTTTGTAGGTCCTGTCGGCGAGCATTACAAAGTGCTGAGTAAAAGGCAGCAAAGAACAGCAGATGTCATATTGTTAAATTTAAATTCATGAGTCTTTTGAGCCCATAAAACAATAAAAAGGAAGGAGTAATGATTGTGAAACAGCTGATCTATATTGATGGCAACTTCAGCTGGTCTGTGGCTTCTGAAACTGGAGCAAGCAATAACAACCTAGTTTCTTTTTTTTCCCTACCATAGACTCTTAAATATTTGAAAACCATTCTTTCATATATCAATCTTTCGTCATTTAGCTAAAAAAGCCTCCAAAACCATAATTAAGTGTTTCTTTATGGACCCTTTTCCGGATGTCTTGTGTATCCTTATCTGAGTTCCAAGAGAGCTGAATCAATAGCAAAGAACTATGCCAAAAAATGGACATAGAGTTCCAGTGGCCTTGTCAGGGATAAATAAAATGGAGAAATATTACTGAGGTTGTAGTAAACTCTTGGTATGCTGTTGACCTTGTCTGGTGGTTTTTCTGTGGGGTTTGGTGGAGGTTTTTTGTTTGTTTGTTGTTTGGCTGTTTTTTCTTTCTTTCTTCTGTTGGTCTGGCATTGATTTATGTGCACTTCTGATCTCCAGTTGCCTGTGTCTTTTTTTTTTTTTAATAGACTTCCTCAGTTGCTAGTTGTTTTTCTTGAACTTGTGCTATTAATTATGTCTGTGGAAATGCTGAAATTTGTATTTCTTCTTACTAAATTATACTCTCTTGAATCATACTGAATTCTTATATTGCAATTTGTTGCAGCACCTTCCCCCCTCCCCATCCCAGCTTGGCATTGTTTGCACATCAGTTAAGAGGAGGACTGACTGTTCCAATGCTCAGGTTATCTGTGAAAAAACTAATTGTACTGGATCCAGGGCAGATTCCTACAGAACATTGCTTGATGTTTTCTTACAATTTGACTGGCAACTAATATGTGAAACTTTTTTCAACAAAGCTGTGTGCACTCACTTTAATTTCAGCTTGACAGTGTTCCCTTAGCTTGTGACTGTGGCTGTTAACCCTGTAGGACAGGGATAATGGCCTGTGTAGTGAAGGTTTTTGGCTCTCTGTCTCACTTGATTTATTTTTTTTTTTTGTACTTTCTACAAGAGTTACAAACTGAACAGTTAAATAAGCATCCAGTTAGGGTCTGGCAGCATGAACTCATACTGAGAAGAGAATCCACTTTGTAAGAAACACTAAAATGCTCTGTCTCAGTATTAAAGCTCCAATTAAAGTGTGCACCTTTCCAGTTTGCAAAGTCAAGGGGTTGGGAGTTTTGCATCAGGAAGAGAAGTGTTTTTAATGCCCTTGTGCCTCAGATTAAAACGGGGCCTGGATGGCTCTGTGCCACAGCATATCAGATTGACTTCGTGTTCTGCAGTGTTTTGATTACTTCTCAAGGGGCCAAGAGGTGTGCCGAGCAGGTGGCAGATCCCAATGTTGTTACTCCTCCTTGTGTCTGGGTCCGTAATTGCATGCGAGGGAACCTGACTTGCATTAGATTTCAGTGAAAGGTTTATGCTCGGTGCTTTCACTGTGTCCCCTTGAGAGCAGGAAGGTAGCTGATGTATTAGATGAAGTTTGAGAGGGGAATGCTGAAAATACTTTGGAATCACTGGCGTGTCCCTGATGAAGAAAGGATAGTCTGAAGGTTTTTTTTTTATTTTCGTTTGAAGGAGGATCTTTTCAGAGATCTGAAACAGAGAAGTAGGTTTTTCACTAGTGAAATAAAGCTCTTTTTTTTTTCCCCTCTTCGTTTTCCTTGTATTCTTATAAACAAGCACCTGATAAAGTATTTTATCAGAGTGCAGAATAACTGCTAGAGAAGCCATATGTACTTCTCAGGATCAAGAATAACAATTTTTTTTCAGCATTCTCCTTTCAAAAGTCTTTCTAGCTATTTAGTTGAAGACACTGGAAAAATGCTTATTCTGACCTTAATTCTTAAACCAGATCACATAAAACTTACTGTTTTACTTCTTCTTCACTTCTTGACTTAAACAAGCACATATCCAGACTTCAGAAGCTGTAAAAGATGGAAAGCAGTACATGATAAACTGAGCTGATGACCATATGCTGGGTTGCGTAGGGCCAGTTTCATTTTTTTGGTTCAGGGCAACATTATAACACTGTTAATTGGGGACAGGTAAGGGGGGAAGAGGGATTAAAACTTTATCTCCCTTCCAGATGCAGTTTAATGATCTCAAGTGATAGTGTAAAAGGGCTGGGTAACACTCAACTGTCCTTCCCTTGCTTTCTTTTTATATCTTTAGAAAACCGAATGTGGAGTAGCAAATGTTATTTGGAAATTAACACTTCTATTTCTCTTTCATTTATATTACAACACAAACCTTAAACCAAAATAGAGTAAGATGATGCTTACCCTGAATAATTGTTCTAACTCTTAATTTTTGCTGGCATAGGTAGGCTAGTGAACCTTTCTATGAACAGTGAATTCAGCCTGTTCTGGTTCTAGTTAGAACAAAATAAGCTAGACCAGCAGGTTTACTTCTTTCTGTTGCTTTTGCATCGGTGTTAAGACTTGTGTTGACTTGGCTTTTTTTTTTTTTAACTAACAAACCCCCAAATCTGCACTTCTATCATGGCAAAACACTAGACCTGCACTTTTTTTTTCCAAAAAAAAAAAAGTCTTTTGACTGTTTCGTGAGCAAACTGAAGAAATATGGTCTCAATGAAGTTAGTGACAGGTGAGTGTAGAATTGTCTGGAAATACTTGTGCAGAATAGATGTTAGAAGCTATCTTTAAAATGTGATGTTAACTGAGAAGGACACTGCCAGTGTCTGTCCCTGCATCCATTACTAATCAATATTTCTAGTAGCAATCTGCTAGAATAACGTCTGTTTATTAAATCTGCAAATGAGACCAAACAGAAAAGAATTGTAACTCTGAGAGCAGGATTAAAACTAACAGTGTTGTTGCTAACTATGCTAAAAATTACCAACTATACAAACACAGGCCAGGAAGTAATTGGTTGTGTCAGTCTTTTAGAAAAGCATTTGGATTCTGTAGTAGGCCAAAAGCAGAATATAAAACAGTCATGGGATACTTTTGCAATAAAGGCAAATACCATACTGCAGTGTGTTAATGAGACTGTCCACAAGATATGTAAAGTACTCCTCTGAGTTTATTTAGCATTGCTCTTAGCCAAAATAACACCGTGGCCAGTGGGTTTAAAAAATAACAACAGCTCAACTCCAAAAAAGGTAAAGAAATTATCAAAAATAATTTTTTTTTTCCCTCTCACAAAAGCTTTGGAGTTTTCTTCTAGAAATTGAAACTGTCAGCTCAAAAGAAGAGAAGGCTGAGTAATCTCTTATGAGAATAACAGATCTCTGCTAGAACGGGAAAACTGATCCCGTTTGTGTTTGTAAGATTGAAGGAATGAACATGGGAAGTCCTTTCAACATTGTTTTGCCGCTTTTTTGATGGGTGATTCAGTTTCAGGAGGATGGACTTGAGAGAGGTGGTGTAAACAAGAGGAGGGAACAGTCTTTATTTTTGCTTTTAAATACTACTTTGTTCTGACAAAACCATATCTGTTTGTTGAATGCTAGATCTAATTATATCATATGCTAACTGCTGGCTATTTCCAAGTTCTCTGAATATTTGGTAATGAAGGATATTGTCTCCAGAACCTGGTTTGTGGTGGAGGGGTGGACACTACACCAGAGAAACATCTGGTTACAAATCTGATTGCATTTCTGAAAAGGAAAAGGTCTCAATACCCTAGAACTGAGCTCAAGTGTGATGAATAAAATGGAAAACTGTACTGTATTCAAGTTTCTCAACTTGAAGTTTAACAAAATATACTTATGATGCTAAAAACTTTACATTGAGAAACCTAGTGCTCTCACCTGTGCTGAATACAAGATTTCATTAATCTGAAGCTGGGTACAGGTCCAGAGGAAACTTTTCTGCTCTTCTATGTATGATCAATGTGTACAAGTGCAATTGAGAATTCTCCCTTCATTAATTTTTTTTTTTTTGATATTGGGGGTGTGGGTTGTGGGTGGGTTAAACCTGCAGAAGAGTTAACACTTTTTTCAGGCTCTGTGAGTTGACATTAATGAACTTATTCCTCAGTGTGTGGGAGGAAGGGAGAAATGTCTTGCAGACTGAAACCATGGTGAGAAGACCAGACTTTCCTTTAGCTTGGAAGGAGAGTATGTTATTTTTCACTGTACCCTCACTGAACTTGAATATTAGGTTTTGGTTAGTAAATATTGTAAGCAATCTA